CGTAAGCCTATTTTACTATTAACTACTCGTATCGCATCATCTTCAGCCTGGCACCTCTGTTCACTGGACAAGTCATGTGTTTCAGCATTCTAAAGAAACAGAATAGCTTTTAGTTCATCTATCAAATTAGTTTATGGCAGATTAAAGGGTAAAATGGCTCAGCAAAGGATCCAACAAGCATTGCAGCTGGCAGAAGAAAAAGGGATGCAAGTAGCACAGACAGGAGCTAGCGACTTACATTTCTATAACCCTTACAGCCCGAGACTCAGCTCTCTCACTAAAATTCTAGTGGTGTCAGCAATGAAGAACAGTTGAAACTATTCCAGTAACTGAGGGCCCCAAAATAGCCATAAGTGGGAGAAAATATGGTTACCAGAAAAAATAGGATTCTCATAAACTGACTTGACATTCTCAGGTTTTTTTCTTTCCCATCTAAAGCTAAACATTTATTCTCCTAATGAAAGCTGAGATTCCTTCCCATGAGTCTGGAAACAGAACTTGAATTCCACAAATTCTGATTCATTTGTTCTAAACAAGGGATACTTATTACACTGGCTCTTCACATCATATATGAATTGCAGCAAATACACTCTCTTATCTTAATTAAACTCAGCAAAAGAGTAGTTGAAGTCTTTTCTGTCATGCTTCCCACATGTTGAAACAGTGAGGATTTAGTCAAATATTGGTTATCTCGATTTCATTTTATCAGTAGCATGAGTCATGTGCAATACCAGCAAAAGCATACTGCAGTAAATATACCCCGAGATACAAATCTGCTCCAAAAGAACACTTTAGTATGGCTGCCTATGATAGTAACAGACTAGTAACTGTCAGGACTGAAAACTACTGCTATGCCATGTTTTTTACATAATTACACTGCTAACCAGGCACACATTAAGAACATCTTTTTCCTGTGGTTATTATTTGTTTTTCCATTGGCAAAGTCTAAACTCCAACAGAAACAATGAGTGCATTGTATCTTCTAATGCTACACTGCCTCCACTAAGCAACAAAAATTTCTCCCAGTTTATCACTGCTTTGGTACTTAGTTCTGAATCACAACCCTCCAAGCTCCTGTTCTAAACAGCCCTCCTTTGTTAAGACAATCACAAACATTCAGATTCAAGCAGCAAGAACTAATGTAAGACCTGCTCATTAAGAAATACATCCTGAAGGAGAAATAAGAGCATTCTAATATGCCTATATAGTAAAGATTTTTGGTAACACTGAAGATTTGCTCATCTGCTCTAGAAATCCTATAGAATTTGTGATTAATGAGATATTCCAACAAGATGCTCGTGTATTTGAAGATACGGTAGCTTTAAATGGGTATCTTTCTACAATAGGTCTTAAATATTTTATCCTTTAGGTATCAGAAGATGTTTTTGTCAAGGTGCTGGATAAGTGAAAACGCAAACAGGGAAATTATGCTTATTTTTAGCGTAAGCTGTGGAGAAGTGGAACATGAGAGGGGCACTGTACCAAGGAAAAAGGTTTACAATGCCAGTAAAAAACCCCAAACTTAAAACTAAAATATACATCAAGCTTTCTTCTATCACCTTTTTGTGTGCCATTTGCCCTATACTAGGAACATACCTCCATGCCCCCCAGTCTTCTTGGCAGAAATGTGATATTAGCAAACTCCAGATTTAGAAGTGTCAAAGAAGATTCAGTTTACCGGTTTTGGTACTTTGCTTGTTGTTGATCTGTTTTCTCTGTTATATAGTCTCATACTATTACCAAAACTTGTTTGCCACAGCTCTCCACTGCTTTTCCAACCACAGAGACTGACACTTTCTCCTTCCACGTATTGTCAGGCACAGCATATTCTGAACACTAGTACAGAACACTGAATTCCATTACATCAGAAATTCAACCTTTGATCAGCAAGTAATTATGGCTCCGGAGTCATATGCCTGAGATTATTACTTAGCATATTATTACACAAATGACAAAGGCAGTCCATTCTTCCAAAACCAAGTTCATTTGCATTACTGATGTTCTATCAATTACTTGTTTTCAGCAAACAGTACTCCAAAGTCAGAAAACAACATGCTATCTTATGTCCAAGACTTTGAAACAGCAGCCAAGGGAATTCTAAGTGAAACAAACTGTTTCTTTCTTAAATACAAACATGAGGAGAAAAAAAAAAAAAAAAAAATCACAAACCCCACTAATTTATGTCATGCCACTTGCCCGAAATAAAAAGAACTACGGAACAGACACAGCTAAGTCAGACCTGCTTTAACCACTGTTTGGTTTAGACTGTCTGAGAACCTATCCAACTCTAACAAGCAACTGTACTAGCAGGCTTACATACATATTTAGGTCCCACCATAATAATAGCAAATGTTTGTTAGTTTTTAAAGAAAATTCCAAAATCTCTGTCATTCCTTGCATTTGCTGGGACAGCTACCGCATCCAGGGGACAAACCAGGTAACAGTTGCACCATCTGAGTAGCTAGCTACTTAGTGCGATTTAACTTAACATCACAGCTAGTGGCACCTAAGGGGATTGTCATATTCCTCCCACAAACCGCATGTCTGTTTCTCTTGAGCCAGAAGTGATGCACGCAAATGCAGCAAGCTGATTCAGGGAGCTAAAGTGGAAGCAAAGCAATGCCCCATTCCTGACAGTAACATCCCCTGAACTGCTGCATAATCAGATAGGCACCAGGATAAAGAAAAGGAGCAGAACTGGCCTTTCATCAACTGTTTATTCTATCAGTATGGATCCAGAGCAGCTAAGGTTGAGCACCCCCTCGATTTTGTACATCACACAGTTAAACCATGGGCCTTACCACTTACCCATCTTATTTACTCCCAGTCTACTTCACAACCAGCCACACTCGCCTCCCCCATGCATACACTGGTGTTCATGCAAACTGGTTGTCAACTTGTCCAAGACCTTGAACTAATTTATCAGCTAGATAAAAAAGTTTTCATCTAAGAAGCTCTTTGAAACAGTTTGCCAAAAACATGCATGAGTGCTAGCAGAAGGCAACAGCAGGGTAGATTCACTGGCTCAAGCTCCTTCAGAATTACACCCCAAAGCAGAAAACACAAATCATATATATCACCACTTAAAGTCCTAGCAAGTTCTATACATGACAAATATTTTGAAGGGCAATTAAGAGCACTTTGTTGAGAGTTTCTTTCAGCTGCAAACAGTCCCTCAGACACCACAGCATAAATAAAGCTATGAATTTTCTTTTCATATTTGAACACAACAATAAAACAAAAGGAAGCTTTCCTCTGGTAATTCATTAAATTGCCAAGAAATCCTGCGTTCTGCACTGGCTAGCAGAAGAAATAAAAATGGAAAAAGCATTCAGAAATGAATTCCATCAATCTTAAGTCTTTTGAATTCAATTAATAGCTGGCACTTTCACTATCCTCATTCTCGTTTATATACTTGACACACTGTTATCATCAGTAAAAAAAAAACAACAAACAAGCGAAAAACTCTATGCCACTCAGCCTTTTGACTAAAACAACTCTTCCCATTTTCATGGTACCGCAATTTCTCAAGCTACAGGCTAAGGGTGTCAGCTGCTCACCTCATTACCTATCCCAGCCATAATGCCCAGAGACACATTCCGAAGTCTTAGATTCCCTTTTTCCTGAAGAAACAGTACAAACAATCCAAATCATAAGAATTTCAGAAACAGTGGCATATAAGGTTTATTTTGTTATTCACTGTATGCCATGTGAGATGCATAGTCCAAAAGACTGAAATCCGTCAGCGAAAGTCAGCTATTGCCCTGGTCTCCTGCGAAGGAGAGCAGGATCATTTGTTTCTAGGATCAAAATCATTACTAAGCCTCTTTGGAGACAACTTAGCACAGCTTCCATTTAACATATTTACTATTAAAAAAATCTAGTCAGTAATGTTCTCAATGTCATTTCTGAAAGACGAGTTTTCTTCAAAGTGCGTCAGCACTTGCGAGTAGTGTCAAGGGACAAGGAAGACTTCCTAATAAATTTAGAACCTCGAAGTATTCAGTTATTCCACCTTAATTGTTTTTTTCCCCTTTTACACAAAATGAAGATTTCTCCCAGATAAACACAGTCATTCAAAACTAGCTCTAGCTGCAATTCACCAAAAGCTGTCCTTATCAAACCTTTATTAAGCATCCCTTCAGAAATAAAATGTCAGTCTCAGGTTTGTCCCCAATAGACAGATATGAGCACTGCAAGTTATGCCTTTACTAAGAATTAACCCTCTGTGGTATTAACTTGCATACAAAAAGCTTTAACAGATACATCCCAACAATCCCACTGTAGAAAAGATTACTACAAGGCTAGTCTGTTTTAAACTACTTACCACCTGACCTATCCTGCTGGGAGTAACACTGGCAGTGCATGTACAGACTCTGATCCAGTTGTTTTGCCCTCAAAACTCAAAGGCCAGTACCAGACTACACACAGTAAAAACTAGTGGCTACCATCTGAGCTAACAGCTGCACTACCAATGCCGCTGGAGCAACTACACCACTGGTAAAGCAACAGGCCAGTTCTGTAGTCAGACAGCAATACAACACAGCCAACATTGCAGATCTTGCCCATGAAGGCCAACTTGTGTTACTAATAAAGTTTTGGTCACCACTTGCACTGTGTATTTCAAATAGACACCAGCCAGCCTTAGCTGCTTTCATGAACAAATCCACTGGGGAAAACAGCGGTTTCTGAAAACAAACTGTTCTTAGTAAATTCATACCTACTGAACACTTGGTGTTGAAGTGTTTTTATCTACGACTCTTCATCTCTTAAAAAGAGCTGAAGCTGAAGCTTCACAGTTCCCATGAAAGCAAGAAACATTTCCCCTTTCTTTCTAAGGGAAATCATGGAAATAACAAAATAAAAACCTTAAAGGAATGCAGAAGGCAACCTAGTTTTGGGAGCTCTCCAAAGCCAATCAAATTATAGATAAAAGGGCATTTTATTAGGGTACATAAACAACTAGCAAAAAGCAAAAAAGACAACCTTTCTTTACTCACCTACTGTCCTCAAAAAAGTACATATATGTTCCCTTGAGTTACTCTTCTCTCCCACAAATTATTATCAGAAGAGTATCCCCATTATTTTAAGTGCAGCCTGTGCTCTAATACCTAACAGTTTCTCACAGCACGTGCCACAATACTTAAAAAAAAAAAAACAACTCAGTATAGCTCTGTGTGCACTTCAGTAACAGTGAGAGTACTTAAGTTTTTCAACCACAGCGTGGGGAGGGCAGGAGGTACCGTAGGAATTCAGAAACCTCTATCAGCTTGTTTTAGTGAAACATGCTCTAAATTTGCCTGCAACCTTTGTCCCAGTCAGTGGTAAGCTTGAGAAAAATCTCAGCCACGAACTGGCCCTAAAACAAATCCTACTTAATCAAAGAGGAGCACTTATTATGGAAGGCTGAGCTTGCTTTGGGAGGTGAGAAGGTATAACTTGCTAATTGGGCACACCTCTACACTAAATGACCCTTTATTTAAATCCATTGTGAACAGACGCACTAACAAAGAAAGCTTACAAAGTTAACTGGAACACATTAGTTTATAATTTTCTCGATTCCTGTGCTGTGATACTAAGAATAACTTTGTGATGTGGGTACAAAGCAAAAACACAGCTCACAGTCACCGCTTTCATTCAGAAGTCTAGGAGCATGGGAAATCAGCACGTCTTCTCAGTTCTCTGTGCAATCCCCAGCCATCAGACACAAAAAGGCTGAGCTTATCGAGGGAAGACGTCCTGAAAGAACAGAAGATGGAAGACAGTAAGCATCTCTCTCCTCTTGGTTGCTTTATTGCAAAGTACTGGAATGTTATAGTCACTCCTAACAGTCAGGTATACAGAGGACCTGAACCCTATTCTCAGGTACTAAAGAAACATCCCTGTAAGAAATGATTTTCTTCTCCCTTTTCTGAGCCATAAAAGGTGTACCTGTGACATTACCCTCTATGTGCCTCACCACGAGCAACCAAAGGAAAAAAAAAAAGTACTCAATTTACAATCAAGACAATGGGGTTAGATCACACAATCGTCATTTTTTCTACTTTGAAAACTGCTAGTATCCTATACAGAAGCTAACTGAAGAAATTTAAGACTAATCTGAATACTCTATTTTAGCCACCACTTCTAATCCTAGTTCTCCTAGAATTAGTAATCTCAATTTCTGTTTCCAGACATGCCAGATTTCTAAGGACAGGAAAAAAAAATTAATCCATTTCCCTCAATTTCCTGGACTTGAAAGTTACAATATTTGCCAGAGACTGATACAGTTCTAGAAATGCAGAGTACTTAATCCCTTCTAACAAGAATATAACAGAGGTGTGCAAGAAAGCAAAAAAGATAAAACAGCATTTCACTAATATCTTCCAATATCAGATAGCTTGTGTCCCTACACATATGGCCTGGATTTAAAAAAAAAAAAAACCCACAAAAAACAACAACAACAACAACAAAAACCAAACAAAAAACCCAAAACAACGCAAAAACAGGTCACGAAAATAAATTCTGTTTTCAACAGCTGGTTATGTTTATATTATTATGAAATAAAGAATGATCACTTCAGAATAACATACATAAACATGCTAGAGCAAGTTCTTGTGCCCAGTTCTGTCGCTATGTGGTCTTAGCCAAGCTTAGTCCACCTACACAACTTACTTTACACAGGACAGATGAAGTTTTCAAACACCTAACAAGGCTACCTGCTTAAAAAGGCATTAACTGCAAACCAGTCAAAAAGTTTCCCCTGCAGCGGTGCTAGCACTGACATGATACCCAGCTTCTATTTGCTTAGAAGAGCAGTCCTAGTAGAATTTTGAAACCTAAGTGCACCAGAACAGTGGTCTCTAAAGCGGTTCACACATGCAAGACAATCCAAAGCGTGGGAAGAAAACATTTTTTCTAGCATTAATAAACAGTATTTTAAAAAGTGTTTATTTCATCTTTATCTTATCCTTTCTTCATTTCTATTTTTGAGTATGTTTTATAACGTATATATCAGTACAGTAGTACCTGTATATAACTGATAAATCAATAAATACACGAATATTGGGGGTGCATGCAAAAAAAAAAAGCTTTTTTTACCGATAGACACGTGCAGCCAAAAAAGATTGGAGGCGCTTCTCTAGAAAGCAGAAGCTCCCTTTCTCTGTGAACAGGATTTTCCTTTTTTCTACTGAGTACAAAAGAGGATTTGTCCTGCCTGCCCTCATTTTCCTAGATGCCACACCAAGAGACACAGATCTTTCTCACTCACAAGACGATTTGGGGGTTCTTGCCTTAGAATATCCCCACAACTACTCCTAGCTCTCTTCAGAGGTCCTACACCATAACACCACTGATCAGTTTCCCCGGATATCCAGGACCAGGCCAGTTTCACTCTAGTGCTGGTATTTCACAGGACTTGAATGAATGGCGCCTCACAAGGCACGTGGTTCCAGTTCTAGGTTTGGGGCTTTTTTTGCCACCTCAACGATGAGAAACTCAGGAACAGGCAATTGAGTGTGAAAACCTGTTATTGGGATGAAGTATGAAAAAATCACGCTATAATAAATGACCTGAATAACAAGGGAACAATAAGTGGACATAAGAAAACAATAAATAAATAGAATTAAGAGGCCATCGAATATTATTACCTCTTACGCTCTGCGGGAACCGAGGGAGGAGGTGAAGGTTACAAGGAGGAACCCAGGGAGCCAAGTGCCTAGACCCTCACCAAGCTCTTCCCCCTCGCCCAACGCGAGCTCCACCGCATCCCCCCGGCCCCCCCACCGGC